GGAGCGCAGCCAGCCGGCTGCAGCTCCGTGCCACGGCGCATGCGCGGCAGATCCGCTGTGGCGCTTTTAGCGTCAAAAGCCTAATGGCGGGGTGGGGCTGCTGAGGCGTTTTCGGGGCTGGGCCGGTGGTTTCTTTCACCGCTCTCCGGGCGAGCTTTATTTAGTGTCACCTCTTCAGGCAAAAGTTGCTGGGTATGACAGTTTTATTCGAATCATCTGAGCTTGCTAGGCCTCACGATGAATCAGCCCTAGAAATGGGATTTAAAGTAGAGTATGTTGAGCCCTCTCTTACTTCCTACCTCTGAGGAAAGGACTTCCAGGACAGGTAGCGATCCCAAGCTTTTTTCTATACAGATGCCAGCTAGAGCCCTCTGCTAATTTAGAACTAAACAGTTCGCAGTTGTCCAGGCTGTAATAAATACACCAAGCCCTCTGAGATGTGGCAGCTGTGCGCATAAAATGCCATTTAAGGACTTAGACTGCGGGCTGCAGAAACAATAGGAGAGAAGCTGCACGCTATGGTCTCCAGTGCTGTTGCATCTGAAAAATTCTGTTTCCTTATTTTTACAGGTCAGTCTGTAGAAGTGTATCTGACTTAAATTATAGGCGCTTCGTTTAAGCAAAGTGAAATAAATTAATGTCAAATATTAATACATAAAATGAAGTGGTTTTCCCTTATTTCTCTATAAATTTGAATTTGACATACAATGTTTATGGTAATTTAATGTCTTCCTTCTAATATGACAAAGAAAATGAATCGCAGTTACTTTCCAGTTAAATAAATGTTTAGTCAAAATTATTTTAGCAGTTAATGTTTAAAATGTGTGTTCCCAAATGCAGCAGCATCTTTTATAGTCAAGAATACATTAAATACAGGGAGAACGCATTAATAGATTTATTAGCATTGAATCCATTTATCTTAACTTTTAAATAATGGCCAATTTATTCAATTGACCAAGGCACATTAAGTATGAAAATAAACACAAAGATATAATTATAGATCAAGTGCTGCTAATTTCTAGCTCAAAACACTAAAGAATAGTGTAATATAAAATTACTGAAAATCAAATGTCTATATGATGAGCTCCTTGCATTGAAAGTAATAGTCACTCTTTATATTAAAAAATCTTTACAAACAAATGAATTTGGTTTTGGGTGTAGCCTGAATATCTGATTTATAACTATTAGTGTAATATATCTTTTCACTTAAATGTTTTCCTTAACATTTAACGATTTTTTTTGGTCTGTGAAGTAATTGCATTTTAAATACTTAGCTAATGTCAACCTAACTTACTTAGAGAGGTCAAGCTTTCAAAATTCCCTTAAGTCCCTGTATATTTTCTTCAACTGGTAAGTAGAAAAGAAGTAAGATAGTAGGGTTCTCTGAGAGCAAAGGCAGGGAGAAGGTAGTATCAATTTATGTGGCTGGCCAGTCTCCATATACCCAGGTCAACCGGTCCGCATAAGCGGAGCGCTGTCCTGTGGTGTTTTGTCTTTGCCAGAACAGGTAGATAACAGATACGAAAAAAAGTGCTGGAAAGGTATAAAAAACACCATACAAAGATTAAAGCAGAAGGTCACTTAGAATCTCTGCAGACAAGTACAGTGTTATAAAACCTACCGTATTTATACAACTTTGATTAATCAATATTTTTGAAGAGTGTTTAATTAGAGAGTGGATTTGATGACCTAGGTGGTTCTTTCCAGTCCTGTGTTCCTAATTAAATGAAAAGCATATGCTGGCAGGCATTGATTATTGTTTTTTTCCTCAGGAAATGAATAACCAGCCACATGCTGATAAAATAATAAGTCAGGGGAAAAAAAAAACACATAGCTTGCCTCTATTCTAGAAAACACTTCTGGTTTCTAGTTTAGGTGAAACAGAGATATTACTTGTTTGTTTCTGTATTGAATAGTGCCATTTCATTAGAAAAACTCCAGAAAATTAGCACCTTGTTTTATATTTCAGTCTCATTTCCTGTTTTATGTTACACATAATAGATGGCAAAGAAAATCTGTAAAATGGATAATTGGCTACTTCTACATTTGAAGGGTTTTACTCCTATGGGAGTAATGCTTGTTCTGCAAAAACCCTCTAAGTATTATGTTGGCAAAGCTGTTCATGCAATAAACCCTAGGCAAAACTGGGACCATTGTAGTTGTGTTAGTGGGAGATCACATCTTAGCGATTTAGCAAACTTCAGCTATTTGTGATTTATACCTTGCTAATCTAATCTAAATTTTATATTATACAGTCATCTTAAACATTAATTTTAAGCTTTTAGGATATTACTAAACAATTAAGATTGTGATCTGATCCACAGTGTTCTTTTCAATCCCTGCTTCTTGTGGAAAACAAGATGTGCAAGAAAGCTTGTGATCTCTGGCTGTTTGGAAGTCAGTTTGTCTGTCAGCCCCCTTCTAATAATTTTTGATCCTGTTGGCCAATTTCAATCAAATTTGAATCAGGCTTTTTAAATTCTACTTCTTACGGTACTACTTATTTCCTTAAATTGCTGTTAAACACTAAATAGATTAAGAAGTATTAAAAGTTACAAATAAAAGTTTGTGTGCACGTGTTTTGGCAGGAAAATATGCAGTTTTATGTGGCAATCGAGTTTTAAAAGTTGGGCTAATCTCGTGATGCAATTAATGTATCTAGTAATCATGTTTTCTTTTTCATGCAAGAAACTATATAAAATTCAGGTTTCCATGAGGGAAAAAAGTGGTAGTGAAAATAAGCCTCTCTGATCCATTTCTATTTACAGGGACGTATTTCAGTTCTATTTTTCCAAGCAGTGGTGGAATCAATAAATCAGAAAATCACCCCGCTCAGAAGTCTTTCATAGAGATTACACTACCTTATATTTTTTCTTTATCTTTTCCTCCATGATTCACCTTCAGAAAGATCTGTTCGTAAAGCAAAATGCAGCTCCTTCCACCGAGAATCTTCAAATTCCCAAAACACGTTTTGTTTTGGCTGGGGAAATATGCTTAATTACATATAATACAATATAATTACATATAATAAACAAGTACACTAAAGTTAAGTCTATTTGTTTTACAGAAGTTCAAACCAACCTACAACAATCTTGAAGCATTTTAAATATGCTATATAATCATATAAAAGAAAACTGGTCATTCAGTATGCCTATATCGATCAGTGTGACACCTATTATAAAAAATCAACAACAACAACAAAAAAACCCAAATAAGGTGTCTTACAATGCTTTGAGCAAAGCCCAGAGGCCACCCAGCTCTTGGGTCTCTCTAAGGTTCCAGGGGTATGATAGTGCCTGAGGAACTCGGCGGTGGCAGCAGCAGTTACACAGAAATGATTCCTGCCGTGGCATCAATCCATATGCCCGTTACTTTATTTCTATATTCAGTCAATTCAAAATACCTTTGTTTTCGTGCTGTAGGTCAAAGGGACTTTAAAACAGATGAGTGAATTCAGTAATTTTTCAGATTCCACATGTTTGCAGTGCAAGTGTAAAGTGCTCCAGAGGAGGGAGCTCTCTCTTAATAGCTGGAATTGGATGGAGGGAGCGTGTCTTTGAACAGCAAAGCTGTGAAAATAATAATCTTTTCTACTTTAGAAATGGGTAAGATATTAGGAACGATATGGCATTTTTGCATAATACATAGGGAAGTTTGTTCATAATTTCAGTTTCTATAAAAGTATTAATGACTACTTTGATTAAAAATATTTTACTTTTGCAAACGGCAGAAAATTAAAACATGGAATTCAGAGTGGTTCTTTATACAAAGTATTTACAATATAAGTTTTGTTATGGAATTTACTCTGCACTATTACTGCCAGCTGAGTCAGTCAATGTGATCCACACTTCTTTATTGCTGTGTTTCAAAAATTCTGCACAGCAAAACCTCTGTTTTCAGTAGATATGTCCAGTCATTCATCTGTTTGTGTAGGCATTTTTTCTGATGGAGAAAAACAAACACTGTTACAAGGGGAAAAATAATTCAAACTCTATATGAAAATTCACAATTCACAACTAAAATTCTTCTTTGTTCAGTCCAAATATTTAAAAGAAAATAAGAACTTCCTTGCAATAGTCTTTTCAGAGAAAAAGAGGCCGTACTTTGCAACACAGGATAACTATAGTTGCAACTCGTGTGGGCAATTACAGCATAGTGCAACCGCAATTATACGGGGCATATGTAGTCATTGTGCATTCAAAACTTGTCTAATATTCACATGTTCTCTGCAAAGGAGTTCAGTGTTTCAGACAAAGGAGTCCTTGCGTTTCCCCACACACAGTTGTGTAAAGAGAAAAACAACCTCAGCTGCAACTCAATGTCTTCTTCAGAAAAACAGTCTGATTTTAGCATGAAAGACTTGATACTTCATGAGTAAATGCTAGGCATTCAATTTTACTATAGCGCCTTAATCCTGTGGTGAAAAAGAAAGGAAAATAACATATAATTAAAAATACTCAAATAACTGTATAAATCCTGATTTCTTCTATTTTAATTTGTGGCTAAATCAACTCATTGGAGTATAAAACCTGCCCACAGTTGTAAAGAAGTGATTCATTTAAGTGATGTATTCATATGTCTGCACTGTATATGGAAAAGACCATATCACTTCAAAAGTTAGGGAATCTCAGCAAAAAATGTGTTTTATGGAATGAGTGATAAAGAGCACATGACTGAGAACCGCTTCACAAGATGGAGGTCACTGCCTTTGCACTGAAACCACACGCGTAGTGTCTGTTACAGGCACTGAACGCAGTTCCCACTCCTCGCCTAGAGACACACGGTTCTGAAGCTACGGCTGGAGCAGCTGCCTAGCAAGGAAGAAAGGCATTTCTAGGCATCGATCT